AAGACAATTAATCTAGAAAAAAGCTTTGCACTGACTAATAGTCATTATATAGAGTGAGATGGAGTGACAGCTCTAAGATCCAATAGAGCTAGGTTGAGGGAGAGATCGACTACTGAATGAAATCAATGTTCAAAACATGCATCAAAAATAATTTATGACACATGAAAAAGTTCTACTACCACTGGACAATGAAAGAAAGAGGGGTTAATAGATCATAAAAATCCACTGTCAAAAATTGTGTGATTACTCTGATTTGATTATAGGCAATAAACTGTTCGAAACGTTATCTAGTAAATAATGCTGTATCACCAAGTGATGTATCAAATAAACAATATAATATGAAGTTATTCTGAATTATCAAACTACAGTTTACATAACTTTAAAAATCAAGCTTCTCCAGCAATGTTATAAAATTAACTATTCAACTGTTTAATAAGTATTTCCAATGCAGACAGGATGTTCCCCTTCCAAAAGAATGTACTCATTGAGGAGTCTTTGGGGAAATATAAAGACGTCTCAACTATTATTTTCAGATGAGAAAAACATTTCTGAAAAGAAGTACTTTCAAAGAAAAACAGTTAAATGAACAACTCATATACTTCACTGATTCTTATCCGAGCCTCTAGTAGGTAATTTATGAATGAAGACAACAAAAACCTTAGTTTTCTACATGCATGAATATCTGGTCAATGAACCTTACATAACAGATGATCGCATGGGGATTTTCGACAAATACAAAGACTGCTTTGGTAACCTGAATGAATATCAGCAGACTGTTTTTTAAAATTTGGGAAGTACTGAATATTGACCTTTGGAAGGTTCTCATACCGATCTGCCATCGGTTCTGAGTTTCAAACCTAAGAGACCAGATCCTGAAGTTAGTTTATTAAACCTTCAACACACATAGTGTCGTGTCGTGAGATGTTTGAAAGATTAGTTTTTCCATAATTGATTCAGTTGTGAAGTTTACCAAATGTCAGAAGAGGCAAGTTTTTCGACCCAACAAGACACTTAAAGCTCACTTAGATAACGGAAGCTCATATGTTTCATACATTACTATATAATTCCAAGTAAATAACTAAAAAGCTGAAGGAGAGTTGAAATTGAATCAGATTTCAGTGTAATCTGTAGCAGAACTCTCTGTTTAATAAACATGAGTGCCAACTGCATATCAGTAACATCATGACGCAGTGCACGTTTCATTCACATAAGATATACGTGATTTAGTCATTAGTAATCGAGAAATAAAGCTGATCAATTGCACATATTTTCAAGTTGCATGAATACATTGCAAATTCTCCACACAATACACGAGGTAAAGGAATGCAATCGAGTAGTACCTCCAGCCAATCAAACAGTCACAAGGATTCGCATTGAAAACTACTCACACGCATTCAGATGAATCTTCGCCCCAATATGCTGCTGGATAAACTCTATCTGAAACTAGTGAAATGTTTATCTGATGTTTCGATCAGTTTGACTCGCCCAGACAAACCTATAAACTAAAATAAGCGTCAACTTGGTCGAAGAAAAAGCATGGGACAAAATGAATTCATCTTATCATGCAAATCTTATTTCTGTTGTTTCAATGAACCAGGCAGTTGATATTAGTAATCTGCTTATACTAATTAGTTATAACATCTCTCCTGTTTGCTTTTTGCTCAACAAACTGTTTTTCAAGGGTAAGTAAAGAAATATAATTACTTGGTATACAAGCAAGCAGAGAAAAATATGTCTCTCAACAAGTAAACAAACATACTCAGTGGCAAGCAGGTGCTAAAATTCAGTTTAGTTCAACTCACAGTCTTCAAAGTGCTAATGAAAAACAAGTCCTGTAGTTAAGCTGGCCTTTTTTATGTGTGTGTGTGTAACGCAAAAGGGGGTAAGTTAGCAATAACAGTGCAATACCTTCTGTCATTCATCTTATTTCCTTTCCTCTTTCCTTTTATTCCGTTTCACCTGTTACTACTTGAAGTCAATAATTATATTCATTTTGTTTATACTTTAATATAAGACAAATGAACAACCCTGTTTTTATTCTGTTCATAATATAACTGGATCATAAATCCCAGTAGACATTGGAAAAATAGTTCATTTGGTCACAACAAATGAAGAATAATCAATACTCATTTTCGAATAGATCCTGTTTACTCTTGGAGTGAGAAACCATTACTAGCTAGAAGTATGGGTAGACTGCTAGATTCCGACTCAAGTAACGTGTTCGTCACGAAACCTGAAGATTGTAGGTTCGGTCCCCGGCGGGTTCATAAGTGCACTCTGCCAAGGAGTCTCATAATAGGACGGAACAGCTGTCCAGTGCTCTTCAACTGATATCAGTCCACGATGAATACAAACCTGAGATTAATAGGTTATTTTAGTATGAGAAAAAGTTTAAGATACTGTTTGACCACATGACATTGATTCTTCACTGGAGAAATGACTATACTATGTGTAAATATATTCTAATGCTAGGATGAAATAACTAGACAGTTACTAGATATCAGATAGCTCTTTTATTGTCATTTGAATCACAATAGATTGCTTTCTTCTAAAAACAAATCCATCTAATCCGGCGACAAACTGATGTGATTACTTAAACTCATCAGTATGTACGGAATTTATGCAAAATAACGCACATTATAAATAGCTATTTCTAATTAACACGAAAGTCTTAATTCCTTCGAGATTAAATGGTCTAACATAAACGTCTACATTCACTGACAATAACTCAACATGTAGTTAATAAGTTCATTTTAGTCAGTTTAATACAAATATCCATATTCATATCACGATATGAATCATGATATGAATTTCTTTTATTGCATATAAACATTTCATATGAACGGTTCAACAACTAGGCTTTCTTTCATCTGGTTACTTGTTCAGTATCAGTCGAACAAAGGCTGACTGAACAAGGACTTTCAGAGAAAGAAACTGATCGAGTCTCGGACATAATGTGTGTAGTCGTCAACCGGTTTAGTGAATCAAGATCTGTGGGTCGATTTAAAATTCAAGCATTTCAGTTATGTGAAGAAACAATTATTCACTATTCGTTGAATATTATCGCTGTCATGCGAAAAATCCTTAGACAACAAGTATTATTCAAAGCATTTTAGAATGCATTAGTAGACTTCCAACTTTTGTCACAATGTGAAGATGCTATGCTAGAAATACGACAATGCGTTTATTAAACATGAGTAATAGTCAATAAACTGATACGATCGACAGAGACTGACTTATCTTCGTCCAGAAGAAATTATAATATCACAGAAGAGGGGAAAGAGCAGACATCCAATGTTAAAATGAGAAATTTTCATCAATCTCAATAAATCACTGACAAATGCATGATTCCTGATGAAGATATTTATTTTTATCCACTCAGCATTCTTTCAATATCTCCCTATGCAGTATAGATTATATCATCTGTCGATCAGTTGGACACAGGGGGATGCAGTGATATGCAGTTTTATTTGTCAATAATAATAGCAGGGATAATAACAGTAATAATAATAATAATAATAATAATAATAATAATAATAATAATAATAATAATAATAACAGTCATGATATATCCATTTACGAAACTCTTATTTTTTATTAAAGCAATAACATTTATAGTGTAATATCGATGTAGATACAGTAATAAAAATAATACTTCTGTTTGCATCCATTTATTTCAACACACATAGACTTCATTGCACATGCGTAATGGTTCAAGATATTACCATCACTACTACTGTTGCCAATGGTGTGGCATAATTCATATGGATTCTTTGATCATACTAGGCTTTATATTGCACAAAGCCTTGTAAGAAAATAATCGACAGTAACGATTACAAACAAAACAGCAACACTACGCATGTACTGCAACCGAAGCCAGCTATAACTTCAACACCCAACTTTTGACGTGAAGAGTAACTTTAAAGACCACCTTAGCAACTTACAAGACAATAAGGTTTCTATTTCTCATGAAAAACTACCTTTCTAGCCGGAATGCCGAAACTTGATTGGTTATTACAGCTGTTGTCAGGGTAGCCTTTAAAGTCATCCGACATGAATGCTCGTAAAAGTACAAGATTGTGCGAAATGTCACGATCGAAAATGACCTTATTCAAATCTTTGTCTACTAGTCGTGTCATGACCGTAAAGTTATGTAGCATGTTTACAAACTTTTTCTTAAACTCTATAGAGAAACGACACAAGATCACAAAAGTAGGGCATTTATTTTGCGAATTACGATGGTAGGTTTACAGACAGTTGTATTTTATACAATGAAATGAATTATCTTGAGGTCGATGGGGATTCCATTTTTAAGGAAATATCCATCCGGGTGTTTCGTCCTAGTATGGGGCTGTTTAGTAGCACGCATGCATGATACCACCAAGGATCAAATTTAGGACCTTCAGGTTTCACGGTTAACGCCACTGGATCAAAGTTCAACGGTCCACAGTTTTCAGCTTCCGTCAATTGACGATATAGCTCGACTGTCATCCATTTCACTTCTGACTGCTTGACCCCACAGGTCAAGGCTTTTCATTAGAACTTCGGGACATCAATCTGGAAGCATGTCCCTAATGAGTAATATACAGTAATGTATTTAGAGGTTAGAGGGAATTTTATTTTTAAAGTTTGTATTCATCATGGACTGACATCAGTCGGAAAACCACTGAGAACCTCGGAGCACTCGACAGCTGTTTCGTCTTCTCAGCAGTTCATTACTCTCATATTTCTCAATGGTTCTCCAACTGATGTCAGTCGGGATGAAAACAACCTTAAAGGTGGATTATTACGACTAAAAAAATGTGATGAGTGTACAGATAAATTCTCAAGTCCCTTTGACGCTACTCATCACACTTTTTAATGTAGTCTAATTTCAACTTGGCATAGGAGATACATTAAATCCCGAAAAGTAGCGACATTAGGTTGCAATAGCACCTTATCTCACGAAAACAGTTTCAAGAGAATTTTGTATACTGAAGCAAATGAAAATGTAAACTCACCATTATCATTATCTATCCCATCATCACATGTAGTTTCAATTTGTCTTTGACAAGCACTACCTGACCATCCTGCGGCACATTCACAATAATAAAAACCAGAGATTGAGGTCATTACACACTGACCGTGTTGACTGCACTGATCTGGACATCCATCTACAAATCGTAAGTACAGAAGATAGAAATGATTCTTTTAGCGTACACAACATGAAACGTTTGACTAGTTATGAAGTACTCAGTTCTAGAAGGAATTCGAAAATGCCTCGCCTGACTATCCGATACCAACAACAGATGGTGGTTTCTAGTTTATTATTACACACTCATTGTACTCTCAACATATCGATTTCTTAAACATTGGACCAGATGATTAGCATATCGTTCCTTGAGTCCAGATTTTATTTCCAAGACTAGCCACTTATTGAACCCAACAGTTATTGATGCACCATGGATAGTCTACAACTCAAGAATATAGCTTCTGATAAGTCTATAATCACATAATATCGACGTGGACTGATAACCATATTCCATCTTTCTATGTTCACCGAAGTTCCTAAGTTTATTAAGCTTACAAGGATTAAAATTTCAAATCAGAAAGTGTAAGGACACTTAAAACATAGCATCAGTTAAAATGTGTTTCCAGTAGGAATTTATTTCAGGTGTATACTAACCATATGAGAAATTAACAGACGTTGGGTTGCATGAAACTCGGAGGAAACCAATGCAACACTTACTATACATTATATATCAGGGAGATAGGATGTTTTATGCAGTAGTTGAAAGTAATAGTTATTTAATATGAATTATTGAGGTTATCCATCACTTCTATTTCTTTAGTTGGCATCATACATAAAATATTTGGTATGGACTATACATATCACGACGTTATACCTTCGATACACGAGGCAGATGGATATAAACAAGAAGTACGTATGCATACCGACTAGCCCAATGAAGAATGATCGCTTATTTTAGCTGAACAATCACTGTATAAATGAAATGTTGCGATGCTACTTAATAGGAGTGAACATATTCATTTGGGGTTGTTTTTTTTTGACACAAACAATGCATATACGCATGTCGTTTACGGGAAAATTTTAACAACTTAATCGCATGCTTGGACTCAACTTGATAAGGTTTCACGGTTCGGCAGTTAAATGTCACGCAAGTGATTCATTTCATGTCATAAATGAACGCGAATGTGTGTTTGTGCTTACAAATAACAGTAGAAGAGATAGACAAAGCGAGAAAGGTAAACTAAACAGTGTAACTAACTGGATTTAAACCAAATCAGAAAAATGAAAAATGAGAAGCAAAGAAATTCGAGAAAAAACAGTATCCACTGAAGTAAAGCGGCTGTTCACGCTTATCCATTAGGCAAGTCGGAAGAATTCAATGGAAAAATAGAAAATTATGCAACAAAATATATCATACAATTTATTGAGCCTGACCCTACCTTTTCCGGTGGTTAATGTCATTGACTAAAGGCATTCAGTACAAGTATGATGTAAGATAGGAAAAGACTTTAGTCATACTGAGAGGACGAAATTATAAATAAATTCAAACTTACACTCAAAGTTTTTATATAAGTTGGGTGTTTGATTTGTATCCATTGCTATACAGTTTTCAAACTTTAGTCACTTTAATATCAAAGTCGATCTAACTAGATAGAGGGTAAATTATCCACTTTATTGGATTTCATTCTATTCATATCTTGATAAGAAAGAATGGCTTATTAGCTAGTTCAAACAGCTACATTTCTGTTCTTTACAGAACCATTATGCTGAACACCCATTGATTTAAGTAAACCTGAACTCCATGCTCACGTGACTGTATATGTGGACCCACCAATTTCGAGGAACGTTTTCGTGACTCCCATTCACCTCTAGTGGTACACACTTTTGTGGGCTACAACTTCATGTGTTCTTCTACTTCGGAAGGTTCTCAATTCATCCTTTGTTTCCGTTCTAATTTTGCAGACTAGACCTATATATTCTTCCCTGATATTCTTGGTGGACTTTTTCTCTCCCTTCTACGTTTTGTTAGTTGTAGCCAGTTGTGGTCTCCTGCCACACATCAGCTAAATCGGTGATTTCTACGTTGTCCACTGCACTACTACACCATGCGCTAATAGTATCAATGGCAATTCTATTTCCCAGGCACTTCATTTCTCAGACAGCCATTCCTTAAGATTGAGGCTCTTCTGGAACGGTGCTGGTGTTGATACCCAGCTGCTGTAAACACGATGCGAACTCTTGGCTTTTGAAACAAAAGGCTTGATAACTATGTTTAGTAATGATGGGCAGTGGCTAGCAGTGGAATCCAGGATGCGCATTTCGTCCTATTTGGGACTCGTCAGCTGGATGTACCTGCTCCCCAGTGATTGATGTTGTTCCCACCGAGGCATCCACATAGGAGCCCATATGCCAACAGGGGCTGATCAATTCGGTCCTATCAACGACGGTGTAATACAAGCAATAACACTAAAAGGCTTGATACTTCAGCATCATTTTCGGTACTTTATAGATTGCAATAACGGTTACCGAAACTGTCTTTGCTAATTGGTCAGAAATTGCAATGGTATTTACTTACCTTTCATATGTTCTGTCATCACTAACAGATACTGGTTACCAGTGGATACCTAAGAAAATGATGCCGTTATGTCAACCGATCGGAGCTAACCGATTGCTGTTGCAAGAATCGACTGCAACACTAGTCAAATGTACCGAATACTTTTCATAAGCTGGAACTGCTGCCAAGTGAGCTCATACTTCTCAACGTCTTGCATTCCAGGTGAATGTACAGTTTGACGTAAGAAATTCCTCATCATCGTAACGCCTGTCTGTGGGAGTTTCAGATTGACTTCTGTTCTAGGTATTTAGGATTTATACCTACATAGGTTCCATTATCCTCTCAGCAAGTCCAAGTATCGTACTACTTCACTCATAATGTTTCTGAATATGAAGGGGGGTTTTGTTACGGGTTCTTCATCATGTATTCCTTCCGTTATCCCTAAAACTACAATATTTATAGTGTGGTCCAACTTCTGGTAGTGAGCTGTTCTAAGGAATCCTGTTCTTATGCAGTGACCCCACATACAATCTTTGGCAATCCTCTACTTTCAACAAGTAATCCGGTAATACATTCTCCTTCCCTGAGACCTGAGGAACCGTTAAAACGTATTCCTCTGTGTAACATCTGCCGTGCTAGTTTCCCATCGGAGTGTCTTGCTCTGTTTGTAACCATTGTCGGGGCTTGTGGTCAGTTCGAATATTCGTTTTTGACGGTTAACTACTTCATTTTCGCAGGCGTCAATACTCAGCTGGCATACACAATTACCCTTCCTGTCTGTCCGACGGTGGGACCTATTCCATAATAACTGGCATCGGTGAAGACTATGAATGGTTTTCCGAGTGATGGAATCTCAGAGGCCATATGCTGGTTATCCAAGAGCCCCTTAATGCGGTCAAATATCTTTCATATGAATATGAATAACTGATTCCGTTCGAAACACCATCCAATAAATAATACTGTATGATTGTGTGAAATATCGGGCAAACAATCTAGTATGGGATCACAAACTACCACAGTGCCCACGTTTTATGCTTGCATTCAAGTTTTTAGTTTTTGAGCTAGGGTCCTAGCTTACAAATGTTAAGAAAACCGCAATCAACTGGCTAAACATGTTTTATAGTTTGGTGTATTAAGACTTTATTTGTTTACTAAGTGTAATTATTCCAAGTTATTACAGCCGATCATCGAACCTGGAAGAAACTAACAACTTAACTAATTTCCTGGTTAACAGTTACCTTGACCGATTAAACATTAAATACCAGAGATAAGATCACATGTTTGGCTTGAAGGTCTATCCATCTGGCATCAAAGATAACCCTAAAATTTCATAAACATTGTAAAACTATTGCTAAAAATAAGAATCTAAATGAAAAGCCATTTTGATCAAAAAAGTATTCAGATAGGTTCTAGAGATTTTCAATAACAAAAATGACACAAGTTTTCGTGGCTATCAACTGTTTGTCTTCAGTGTGTTTCTGAAATATTCATATATTCAACAGTACAGCTATTTGTGTAGTTACGCACCTTGGTTTTTGAAAATCTTTCTAAATGAAACCCAACACGTAACACTTTTCTTCAAAACAATACCACATTTTGAGGTAGCATTCATCATGGACTGAAGGTTGGGAACCACTGAAAACCTGGGAGTATTGGACGGCCGTTTCGTCCTAATATGGGACTCCTCAGCAGTACATACTCACGATCCAGCTAAGGATCGAACTCAAGACCTTCAGGTTTCACGGCGAACGCGTTTACCATCCAACCATTGGGTCGGAGTTCAATGGTTCACAATTTCAAACTTCTGTCGATCTGCGACATAGCGCGACTGACACTCAAGGTCTTCATATGGCATCCGCTTCCCTTCCGACTGATTGATCCCACAGGTCAGTCCGTGATGAATACTACCTCAAAATTAAAATCCCCATTCATCTCAAAAATACAGTGCCATATTTGTCCGAAATATACCTACTTCACCTATATTACGAATAAGTAAGAGGGTAGGCTGACGAACTCATTATAAGTTATTCTTTATTTTCCACTGTTTTAAGTAGAAAAGTAAGCGACAAACTAACAGTGATGTACACTCCAGATATCAGTTTCAAACCTCTAACATGCATATTTTTTTTTATAAAGAAAATATCCATGAGACAACAAGTAAGGAAAAGAACTTACCGAGTGTGCAGTATTTTCCATTCCATCCTATTTTGCAATTGCATGTACCGTTGGTACAATGTCCATTTATGAAGCAGCGGGTATCACACCGCTTTGTATTGCAGTTAGAACCTGTCCAACCAGAGAAGCATCTACACTGAGGTTGATCATATCCATTTATGTAGTCACAAATACCATTTGGACCACAGTCAAGTGGACACTCTGAAAGATTAACAAAAAAAGAATAACAAGGCTGCAAACTAGTTCGTCAAAGGTTTATCAATGAGTTTCATAGTTACACTATCTGATGAATAGAGAACTGATCTGACAAATATACCAGTGGTATTAGATGATTTGTCACAACGGTGCATGACTGGTCAATAAAGTCTTGGGTTTTCTTTTTTTCATTTTTGTAATTATTGACTTGAGCATAATGCATTATTGTGATACCATATTCAGCATACATTGATAGGCAGATATAAGTTATCAACATGTCCAGGAAATATGAAGTTAGGGGTATGCACTAAAAGAATATGCAATATGACTTGTAAACGCTCGTTGTGTGGAAGAGGAGATTTAATAAACATGGTATGTACCTAACCTAGAAATACAAAGGGTAGTTGTAACATATATAGATAGTTCTTTTTGCTGGGGAAAAAGGATTAGAAGTTTTCGTAAACATGTACAGCAGGATCAGCTTTCAGGTTTGCATTCATCACGGATTGACGCCAACTTCAGAACCATTAAAAACCCGGGAGCACTGGACACCTGTTTCATCCTACTGGTATGTGTGTAACTCATAACCTTGCTAGTAATCGAACCCAAGACCTTCTCTTGTTGTGTGACCATGTTAGCACCCATCCACTAGGTTGGAGTTCAATGGTACGCCCCACTGAGGAGTCCCATATCAGGAAAAAACAGTTGTCTAGTGCCCCCAGGATCCCAATGGTTCTTCAACTGGTGTTAGTCCGAAGTGAGTACCAACTTTAAGTCGATAAATCCTCACAAACCTTCAAATCAAAATCAGCTTTTATAAATATAAATAAATTGAAAGTATAATTAAAATCTCAGTTATTTTCGTACTTGAACAAAAACTTAACTTTCGTAAACATATTTCAATTTAATCTGGAGACAAAAAGGGCAAGGGCTTATGAAACTATTCTACCTCCGTTTTAACTCTCATTTACGATTAGTGCCATGTCTAAGCGACAATTCTACAATACATGGACAAAAATGATTCTTTCGTCAGTAATTTACTTAAAAAAACTTTATGCGGATATCAATCAGTAATACAAGGTGGTAAGCTCTGGGAAAGTGGAGATGAACGCAAGAATAAACTCCCATTCTCCATTCTCCTCGATCGATCTAGGTGTTGGTTCGAAAAGTGTAAAATTTCTCAACCACTTGAGTTACCACAAGTTTGCAAGGTTAGTTAGTAAAACGGTGTATACACACAAACAAACTATGTCTAGGGGGCATTAATCATCCACTACCAAAAGTATCCTCAGTTCACGAACACTACGCGATTTTGTTTTGAAGCCATAGCATGCATCTATGCTGTATTTATACACATACAGGTATTATGGTCAAATTTAGACAGCACTTACGTTGAAAAGTCGCAACTACTTAATAGAATACATTCAGAACTTTATGTCAACCGCGTAATGATGATACACTTGAAACTGCTTGCTTCAGATAATTTAAACACAATGGCTACATTATACGGCGTTCTATATTTCTGATTATTAGGATAAATACAGGTAATATCTTCAGTTTAACATTCCAAACAAATCAAGAGCAATAAAGAATAATAGCATGAGTAATACACATTCAAATAATTGTGAATAGGTGAAAGAAAGGATCACCTTGTTCTGCAGCTGCATCCAATAACAAGCTAACAGGTGTAGCTGATAACGCCATAGCCCGTATAGATGAAGATGGGGCAGAAGATGATTTCATCATTAGTCGATTTGGTAGTTTACCATTGCCATTACCGATATTTCCACTGTTAGTATTACTTTTAGGTGATGATCCAACAGATGGTTGAATTAGTTTAGAATTCATTAAATGATTAGGCACCGGTAGTTCACAGCCAATACCAGACCAACCGGTAAAACACCGACAATTCCCATCAATACAAACTCCGTGTTCAGAACAGTTAGAAGAGATACATGTGCCTGGGATAAGTAAACAATAGTCAGTGTGTTTTGTCGAATGAATTCAATAAAATGAGAAGCAAGACAGTCAAGTACAATTATCCTCTCAATTTACAAAAGTTGTTTCGGGGTTGCTTATCAAGTATAGTTCACAGTTTTCATGATTTCATTGTATAAAGTTTTTGTTCGACAAAAGTTAAAATGTAGTCTGAGGTTTATGGAGATTTTATTTTTAAGGTTTTATTCCTCACAGACTGAAATAAGTTGGGGAACGATTGAAAACCTGAGTTTGATCCTTGGCGGGTTCGCGAGTGCATTGTGTTGAGAAGTCCCATACTACGGTGAAATGGCTGTCCAGTACTTACAGATTTTCACTGGTTCCTCAACTCATGGCAATCTGTGATGAATATTACTTCAAGAATAATAATAATAATTTTGTCATTAAATATGCAACTTCTGGCCGTCATTTCAATATACAGTACTGTTGGTAAAAGACTAAACTCGACAGTTTTAGGTGCTTGTTGACAGCTATGGTTTGGTAGAATTCTGTGAAACAAGTACACATTATAAGATAAATATGCTTATAAAACTTGAAACCGTAGTAGCCGGTAGTACTGAAGCTAACTATGGAGAAAACACGATGAGCAAAATGCCGTACGAATATGACTTATGTTACTGATTAAAGTGTAAATTTCAACACGAAATGACTCAAGTTAAGAATCACTGGTTAGTGGTACCTTCAAAATAAACGCTTTCTTCTGATTTCAGATTTTTCAGACGTGTATACACACAGTCGTAGATAGAATTGAGTTTGGAATCCTTCGGAGACATCTGTTATTTAAGATAATACGATATTTTATTGAACATATACGAAAACCTCCAAAACTAAATCTATCTGAGATAAACACGAACAAATTATCAAGGTGAACTGGTTAGTATAAGAGATAATTTGTCATACAGCACTCAGATAAGTCAAATATGATTGGGGAAACCTTTGAAAAATCAATTTGAGTGAGTTTTAACTGCTCATTAAACTTACGAGTGTACGTTGTTCGTGAAGTTTCTGACCTTCAAAATGGATGATACAGCTGAGAATCTTTGGACAAGGATATGTTACTTCAACCTTACACGAGTGTTAAGATGTATGAGAAGATCAATTGTTTAAACAAAATAATTTATTCACTTGTACAAAAGATTACAAGAAAACTATTTTTCAATTGAAATCCCTAATATCCCTATTCAAAGAAACCATCTCCTTTTGCATACGCAGTACACTAAAGTGTCATGAAGAGACAGAGAAGAGAGCGAAAAAAGCGGGAAGACTTGGAAACACCATAAAGATGATAACAGATGTGAGACTTTCTATCAGAAATTTTTCTGAAAAAGATCTAACCAAATCTAAAAGTAATGGAAAGAAAGCAGGGAGAGAGAGAGAGAAAGAAAGAAAGAGTGACAGGCAGAGAAAGGGAAATGGACTAATTTACTTGCCTTTCATTTGACTTTCCTCACTCATCTTACTGAACATTTAATATCAAACTGTGAATAATGTCTTCGTATTCATTTGATTTTCCTTATATCGTTGTCGTCACTGATACAACTCTTCGTCTGCTTCTTTATCGTCCCACCTTCACTTTTATTACCATGTTATGTATTTACTACACATACATGTGTATCAATGTTTTCCCACATCATAAAAAGTTTATCTTGCTGTGCATTTTTACCATATATATTTACATACGATACAGTTAACTACATTCAAATTAGAGGAAATCATTCATCAGATTGATTAAAAGCGCTTATAAGGAAATAACTTTTGTAGTACAGACATTAAGGTGAACAATGTGTCCAACAATAGGCTATTCTGAAAAGGAGGAATGTGAGATCACATTTAAAAAACCCTACATTCTGCATTAACCAACAGGTTACTGTTGCATATAGTCAACTCATATTAAGAATCAGTAAACCTGATGAAAAACATGCACTTCTGAAAGGCATCTTGACTAAACTACCATAAGAAGACAGTTTGGAAGCATCCGTTGTTCAAACACGCACAACATAAGATTGACCTCTTTTGACCGTTGACATCCTCCACTAATCTTTAGTTTGTTTCGTTTTGTTGCATGGTCTGAGATAAACACAGCGAGTCTCTGGTGAAGATGGTAAAAAAAGGAACAAAATTCGATAGCCTACAGGCTAACGATCTGACGTCTTACTAGTCAAAATGAAAAGTTTGACGGTTGGCTTCATCTAAACTATCCCACATTAAAACCTGGATATTCCATGGGGAAAGAGAGAGGGAGAAGAGAGAAGAAGAGGGCAGACTAAAAATAGTTTCATTCCGATGACAGTAATTCTAGGCCGATCTTTCTCATACTTACTAAGGTGCGCAGTAATTCACAAGGGAAATGTGAAAGGAAATTTTGATGAACAAAAAGTCATAACCTACTTGGACAAGAAAAAATTGATAAGGGTAAAACTAAATTGCTTTTATAATCATTCTAACAACTATAACAAGAATAATGGTGATAAGGGCGTTGATAATAATAAAAATAAAAGTCTAACCACTAAGTCAGTTGATCACCATTTCGTCACAGAGTTTGCAGTGATCAATTAACGTTAACATACAATACACCTATTATTTCCTCTTCATCTTTTACTGCCATCATCAACGTTTTCTTTTATCAGGAATCGTTCTTGTCATTTCGTTAGCAATGTCGGACATTTGCAAAACAACGCAATCAATCAATCAATCGATTGAAGAATGATCAAAAATGTCTGCTGGAAGAATTTGATCTGCTTGAGACATTACATATGCATATATATCAGCGACATGTATTCGTTGTTGTCATGGTTACGCAAATAGAGTTGCAAGGTTAATTATGTGCAGGTTTGTGCATAATAAAGTTAGTTTTACGTATTTGTAAAACTGCTGGCAATACTGCTCCTTAATTTGGGACAAAGTACGTACAATGCGTGTGAACGCACAATCAGTTTGTTATGAATTGACTAGTTACACTACTAAACAATTGCACATATAAAAGATAAGTGGTCGGGTGTAAAAAATTTCAGTTGCTGAATACGAATCTATCAATGTTTTATTTGGAACTCTTTTGACCGACATACAACATTGATCATCAAAGTGAACCAGAAACCTTGTGGGGAATCCTGATGAAAAACGAATATACACTGAGACTTATAGATAAGAACCTAAAGCCGGAAAACGCCACAAAACACTTGCATATTGCTCCGAAAGACTTTACTGCTGAACCTCGAATTCAAAGGAGATAATGCTGGAGATATCCTGAGAAAGAAACTACTAAAGTCCATTGACAAAGCATTCTTTGCCACCAATCTTAGAATCATATTCATCCTACTGTCAGAAACTTATTCGTTAGTACGCAGACGATAAGCTCGAGCATTGCACCATAGCCGAGTACATAGGGCGTACAACATACCAGCTTCTACAACGCGCTCGCGAACACTACCCAACCTGGGTGACGAGAGGAGAAAGGAAATGTATTTTCAGCTCTGTATCAAAACACTTAGTAGACTGAGGACATTTGGCTCCTTGTATTAGGTCCTTCAAAAGTTTGTATAAAGCGAGACTAAGCCACTAGGCAGGAGTAAGGGCATAGCTGAAGCATTAGCACTTCAAAACATCATTCTATATTCGAAAGAAGCATATACAACCTCTTTAATTGCCATGGCCATCGAAGAGGATCGACCATTTTAGATAATTCCCTTATGATGTGAATATTTTTTATTATTTTGTAATCACTTGGTTTACTTACCCATTTTAATCGCTTATCGGCATTAGGTAACGTTCCTTTGTCATTCAATTCGTATTGACCTTCGGTCAGAAATTACTCTGGAGTGTTCTATGCTATCTACTATATATTCACGAATGTACAGCTAAAAGAATGATTTCTTCCAAAAGATTTTTTCTTCGCTGCAATCGTCTTCTAAATTTTCCTATCATCCTCAATTTGTACTTTGCAAGGTTCTTGCTATTAGCTAAATATGTACATTACACTCCAGTAAATTATGCCTTTTACATCACTGTCCCAAAAAAAAAGATTTATTTTAAGACATTTTCCACTAAAAATTGTATCCAGTAAGGAAATTGAAGGAAATCGAACATTACTGTAGGTGGGCTATTCAAATTACTTGTTTTGGCAATTATTGAAACCTTTGATTGGTCACTGAAGAGTAACCAATTTCATGTTGTCTAGTCCTAAGTGCTAACCGAATTCTATCGATTATTTTGAAATGTGTAATCACCAAACTAGCAAACTCCATATCATGGTGTGAGCTTTGGTTGGTGTTCGATGATCGGAGGCAGTCAGCAGGAAGTCCTGCATCTAGGTCTCACGCTTGTTAGCACTCATCAAGGCGTATCTATAGCCATGAGAGAAGTGATGTTCACTCCGAGATTAGATAGAAACTACATCCCATATTGGTGCATTTGGAGACGTGATCACTGATCTGTTGAGACCTGATCAACAACTCACTGTAATGGGGTATATACTATGAAATCATAATGAGAAATTGTAATTTATGAAGTAAACTGGTTTATTATTATTATTGCTGTTATTGGGACACAAACATGGTACAGCAAGGGTACCAAGAAGTGCGCCACGTAAACTAGTATGACAAAATTGGGAAGACATAAACGATAGGAAGTGAATAAGTAAGGAAGAAAAACAATCAGAACAACATGATTAGAGGGACAATCCAATAAGATACATCCAGAACACAACGTTCATTACTTTTCAGCAGCAGAAGATAGAAGAAGGCTACAGCATGATCGCCACTAGTATTGATCCCGAGCCATATCTGATAACATCTCCAGTCACTGAGTTGCTTGATCTCTAAAATCTCAACCAGGGAATCGGGATGCATCAACAAATGCTAACCCGACACAATTATCCTCCATTCCACGGAGCCACATAATACAATGACCACCCCTCCGCTTCTACTATTCAGTCCCAGTCCCAGGACTACCAAACAATGAACAGTATGGAAGCCGTTGAGACGACATACATAACACATATCCAAGCCACCGAAGCCAGTGTTTCCAGATGACTTCACTAATTGAATGACGATCTCTATCATGCCCAAACACATGCTGTCGTACCTCAAAATTGCCTACATGGTGTTGCCACCGGATACCAGGAGTCTTACGAAGGCAACGATGGTCAAACAGAGTCGTCGCACAACCTCAGCTCCGAGAGGCGAGGTTTCACAGACGTAGAGCTCGTATCGAAGCGTTGTAAGCCCGAACTTCTACGGCCAGACTAACGTCGCGACGGTGCCAAAGGTGGACCAGATTGACGTATGCCACTGACTTTCAACATGCGATTAGAAATTTCATCACTTACACCTCCACCAGCACCCACAGTGCCCATATACATGAACTTTTCGACTACTTCCAACGACTCACCACCGTGGGTCAGGGTAGACAAAGGCTGCCGCCAATCTTCCAAAAGTACTTTGTCCTTCGATGGTGCGAAGCGCATACCATACTTACAAACACGAACTGCCAACTGACTAAGTGAGATTCAAGTAGTCTGTGATGTCGCACAGTAAGATGATATCATCAGCATGTCCAAGGTCGAATAGCCGTTCTCTGGTCAGTAGATTTACACCACCATCAAGCACCTCCTTCAGAGCTGTTTCAAGAATGTCATTGATAGCAAATTTAAAGAGGAATGGAGAAGTCGGGCAACTCTACCTACCCCGCTTTTAGGATGTTAATCAATTTCTCAGACGCGCCCCTCTCCAACAGACAATTTCAGAGTACAGCTCTGTCCAACGAACCGAAGACAGCCCTAATGTCAAAAAACACAATGATTTTTGGCCTGCAGTACGTCTGGCGATATTAAATCATCTGGTAGAGTGTAAACATATAGTCAATGCATCCACGACCTGAATGAAACTCCACCTGCTCCTCGCGAATCATTTTCTCACATGTTTTGCAACATCTGCGAAGTATAATAGCAGCCAATATTTTCGACGCGACTGTTAACCGGTTTATAAGAGATGACATCATTGCAATGTATTTGTTTAATATAAAAAAGGTAATGAAATTATGGAATGCTAACAGTCTCGAGTCCACAACGTATTTGTTATGAGACGATAAGGTCATGGGTACAAGAGATAGAGAACAAGAAGTTTTACAGTAGGACTAAGAAGGTATTCAGTTTTTTCTGAATTTCATTCTTGATAAGTGTCACATTCAAACTAAACAGGTCCCTGAAACCATCAGTCACATTTTCTCACTTGTAATTGGCAGTCTATTCACTTGCCTCAATTACCCCAGCTGTTCAGCGTAGTTGTTCAGTTTAGTTTTAATCTGTACATTTTCATAGTTGAACATTTTTGTGCATTTGAGATACAAAGATTAACTCGTATTTGCTAAGTGAATCAGTTGTATTATCAAGACGCGATTTGTTTGTACACACAAACAAGCATATACGTACACACTGAAATATACATCAGCCAGACAAATATAAAAAACCTCACTATGTAACACACTTCTGACAATAATTAAATCATTAGGCTATTCAGTAAAGAAAGGGGAATTAATTAATTCGTGAATCAACAGTTGATTATGCACGCAAATAAACCAGTAATAAATAATAACTTTAAAAAGGTACGGTAAAATGACTCACGTGTCTGACATGAACTGCCTGCATAACCTTCATAACACTGACATTCACCGACAACACAGCGACCATTACCTGAACATGTTGCATCTTCACACTCAGACCATAATGTTTGGCATTCTTGACCTTTCCATTCAGGATAGCATCGACAAGCACCAGATGCATAATCACCGTGTCCACTGCAGATTTTCGGTAATTCAGCTGCAATTTATAGTTATTTTCGATAATGAAGGTGTAGTAGAAACCGAAGAACAAATAAATAAACATTATTTTTGGCAGGGGGAATTTCTATTCAAATATTAGAATTCAAATACCAGCCAAAAGGTCATGATGAAAAAACTTAGTTATCGAAATAGCAAGAATAGATTAATTATGACAGTCATTCATCTCAATTGAGATTTATCCAACTCAAAAGTGGTGGTGGGAGAGGGGGTGGAAACAATTAGACTTTCATTAGTTAACCTCGCGTACGAATTCAATCAGGCTAACAAATAATGAAGAATGGCAGGTATACAACTAGTCTCGCTCTTCATATAGTTAAACAATATCCAGCACTGAGGAATAGACCTGGGTTCTAGACTTTTCCACTGACTTTAAGAAGGCCGTACTTTTATATTACGACATCTCGCTTACTATAAGAAAATTTGACAATAGAATTCAGCGGTTATGCCTTACTTGACTATAAAATTGGCATCGCAAACTGAAAATCTGAAAAGTGTGTAATTGGAAGTATCACAAGCCCAGTCAAGTGACTTACTGTAGTCCCAGTAAGCGAAACAATTCAGCACTCTCGACTGAACCAGTTGGAACATACTAGTGATTGGCTAGAACCTGAATTATTAAAACAATTATCCTGCTTTTTGATCACACCGATCGGACTAGCGAATAACGCTGATTATGATACACGTGATCTCAGATGACAATCGGTAATCAGAAACAATAGTGACATTTAGGACATTTATGCAATATCGTAATTTTTCTCCAGTAAAATAGTGATAGGAAGCAGCTAAAATGGAAATCAACACCTTAAATCACTGATCGATGGAGTAGAAATGTTTGAGCTACAAACTTTAATCCATACTGCTATGTGGTCAAGAAAAACCTCACCGACTAATTTCGTACTTCAGGAAGAAAATCTGAACCTACCTCATTACATTTGTGAAAACTGTATTTCTGTAGAATAGTCGTCTTTTCGGTAACAAGCTAGTCTTTGTCTTTTGATATTTCACTGCTCAGTGAACAGTGGTTAGTGCATTCTGTTCAAGTGTCCTATTGCCTTCCGTATCGTTATTATATAAGAATCTTATTACACCGCGTCACTCCAAACAGGGTTTCATAGTAAGAAAATCCTTCTCTTCAGAATCAGATCATTAGACTGATGTCACTTTTAACATAATCAACACTCCTTGTAAAGGTCAAACACATTGTTGAATGTAGATCATGCAGGCTCATCACGGAGATACGGAGTGAACATAGTACTTCAACTGAAGTACTACACTTCATATCCGAATTGAATCGTTCTTCACGTTTTAGTTAACAAAGCTTTCAGTTGCTAGCTGTACACTACCATGGGAAATGCATTTCTCTGTAGAGTTTCACTCCTGACTATGATAGCCTGAGAGTTAAAAAAATCCACAAACCTTTAATTCAAAAGGAAGAAGCTCAATTACTAGGCTATACACTGTGATTTGGAGGTGTCTGCCACGATATATGAAGTCAGTTTAATGATGGAGATTTTTTCAAAAACATACATTAATTCTACATCCTTTCCGTCTATAAAAAACCCAGACGCGTTACGAGTTAAGTGAGGTAAATAAATACTAGAGTAAGAAACAGTTCTATTCGGAAACGTATATACTTAAAAAAAGTAGGGTGGTGATTCGAGGTCTGAGCTAGAAGCGTTTAAAAAGGTTATTCACATTTGCACATTACTTCTTCCTGCTGATAAATATTAAATTACTTGCGATGGGTAATAAAAAGGAAGGCACTTAAAAAAGAGTTAAATATGCGATATATCGACAAGAAAAATATAGTGAACAGACAGATTTCACTGCTTTCAAGTCTGGGTCACTTCAAGCCATTTCAAGTACTTAAAATTGTACTGCATATATTTGTTTTTGCTGGCCTCAACACTTTCAGCATTCCACTTCATTCAAACTGTGATTGTGAGCTTCATTCGAATCTCCTAGAAGTATAGGATAATAGTGATAAAAGTAATCATGAAATTGTTAATCTAATTTCAATTGTCTAATAATCGAATTCACCTGACTGATAACTGGTAGGCTAGTCATAACAGTAGTGCTTTATGTTCGTATATATATATATATATATATATATATATATATATATATATATATATATATATATATATATAACTGCAAAGATTTTTATGGTTCTATGGTGAAAGGCAGCATATGAATAATGCTGAAGAGTAGTAAGATAGTGAAAGAGAGGAACTTAATTCAAAAGAGAGAAATGAAGAGCAAGAATAAATGTTAATAATTTGTTGGTAGAAGTTCACAGAAAGCTATACTCATGCATATTCGATGAGCAAAAGTGAACTTAAGTTACTCTGGGTAGTGTTCATCACTGACTGACATCAGTTGAACAAATACTGAAAATCTGGGAGCAATAAACAGCTGTTTTACCTAGTATGAGGCTTTTCAGCAGCATGCACCCACCCCCTTGTCAGAAATCAAAACCAGAACTGTCAATTTGATGGTGAACCAAATAGCATTCGGCCTCCGAATCAGAATCCAACCGCCCATACCATTCTACTTCCGAGACCAATCAATCCCCATAAAACTGCAAACTGAAATATGTTTTTTGCCCAACTTACACTAACCATAAACACATTAAGGAATAAAGCAAACAAAGAGAAATGGGAATCCTTTTCAGCATTATACACTCAAGGAAGGATGAATTTCAGACTAGGGCAAAACAGCTGTCTAGTAACTACCAGATTTTTAAAGATTTTCTGGTTGCTTTCATTTCATGATGAAAACTACTCAGATTAAAACTTTTAGTGACTCATAACAGTTGATCCTAGTAATGCAATACGCATATCGATCTTTCTTCGCTAATAATCAATTACGTTTTCATGTGAGGTAAAATAAGTGAGTTTCACTGTGTAGACCTGCCATATCTTTGTTCTACTTTGGTTAACAGTGGCTTATAAATGAAAAGTAAGTAAACCTGTCATGATAGTAGTGAACCGATGACCTCCACGTTACAGATAAGTGCTCTACTAAGTGAGTTTCGAGACTCATCTACTATTCACGTGCCAGATTCATACGAAACACCTTGTGTAGCAGCAATTTAAGTGAGTCACGCCATTTATCTAGTCAGGTCATCCCAATCTTAATTAAAATCTACTAGAAAATGAGCAACTTATCGACTTTTTACTGATCTTCACGCAGTTATAACCATTACTTTCTTCATAAGATATCGTGTAGTATATCATGTCTGCAAACAAACCTTTACATATTGCGACCCACCAAATACTTAGAGCTATCCTCTGAAGTTTTTTGAGCAATAAGTACTTGAAATTAGAGATGCGATACCACGAATCTCATGTACTATTATAAGTACATAAAATGTGATAACTAGATGTGATACAAAACAACTAGTTATCTCGATGTTTAATTGGTGGCTAGCAGTGGAATTCAGGATGCACGTTTCTTCTCCTATTTGGGGCTCACCAGCTGGACTTACCTGGACCCTAGTAAGTGATTGTGTTCCTATTGGGACTCGGACCCAATATCTATCGTTTAGAATGCCAAAGCGTCATTCACTAGACCACTGATACGCAACATCCACCTCTCGTGAAACAGGTATTAGTTACAATTATTTGTTGCTAATTGTGGTAGCTCTCATCCCTCAGTGGCCTAGTGAATAACGCTTGGTATTTCAAACAATGGGTGCTGGGTTCAAGTTTCAGTGAGAACACCAGAGCTCACTGGGGTGCAGGTACATCCGGCTGACGATACCAAAATAGGACTAAACGCGCATCCTGGATTCCACTGCCAGCCACCATGAAAACTCCAACATAATAAATACTCAGGCAATATGGAGGCATCCATAGAGGAGCTCATCTGCCAACAGAATTCGACCGATTCAAATCAGCATAGCAACGCGAAATAACGTGTATCAATAAACAACTAGTTATCTCATCGATAGACTAGTCAAACATGGAGGTATATATTTCTCAACCTTCAGAAGAAATAAAAACCCACTTCTATGCCTTTTTGAACGATTTTTCAGTACACCAAACCTCAGTTAGTAGTTCATCATTGAACTCACAATATATGTAGCATTATTTCACCTTAATTAGTTTTTATTGTTTCATTTTGATGCCAAACTGGTTTATTATCGTTGGTATCATAGTGTCGATAACAAGTATGCATGATATGATGTGAAAATAATTTACATGTTGGGAATAAATTACAACAAGTTTCTATATTCGTACTTACTATCTTATCTCAGTAATGTGCTGACTACAGCAAAGAATATACTAAAATGACTGGTTGATGAGGAATTTAATTTCACCACCAAACGCCGAACCGCTATGAAACAAGGAACATTGGGCAGCTAGTTTCCTCCTAGTTTCGCAGTCTTGAGCAGTATGCAGTAATGAACATATATAAGATCAAGTCGAAGACTGTCAGGAGGTAAGTCAAATGTGTTGGAAATGACTTTCGAAACAAATTTATTTAAGTTCTAGTGCGAAGGTGATCGAAGAGAGAGAGAGAGAGAGAGAGAAGACGGGCCCTCATCAAATGGCATTATTTGATGAGTGCACTATATAACGAAGCGATAAAGGTCGACAAATGTAGGTCTCACTGAATTCCAACGCAACGACCGTATGCTAATATGTTCACTAGGAGACTTGACAATCCTGAAACACGTCTTGTGCGGATTATTGACCGCACACTACTGAGTCATATAACAGAAAAAGTAGGTTTCATGTCAAAACCTTCGAAATACACCGATGATTCGTTTATAATCGACAATGAATCAAGTTTCATCCATCTGCTAACTTAACTTGCGATATGATCATTCTAACCTAGAATACATACAGCTTACATAACGCCATGTAAAATTAGAAGAGAGTATTATTGATGAATAAACTGGGTCGCGACAAATAGACAACTAAACTATCTTATTTAGCTGATGGCTAGGTAACAAGAGGTTGAAGTTGTACGTCTCTGTATATATATATATATATATATATATATATATATATATATATATATATATATATATATATGCAATTAAACGCTGCCGAAATTTGACTTCGACAGCATGACACATTTGACCTCAGCATAACATGGACACTCTGTGAATAACGACTAATCATTTATAAAGTCATCAATAAGTAGTTAAAGGTATAGCCAGAAAATTTCTGACACACCACTGATTTAGAAAAGAAAATAAGATTTACACGTTTGGAATATGAACAATAAAGTGAACAGAATGCATCTGAACAGTTCTATTGTTCCACTAGGAGAATAAACATTCCATATGGAGTGGATTATGAAAAATCGTTAAAATAAACGAAAGTCGATGTACCAAGAAATTAGTTGGAGGATAGAAATGATTTCTACAATAAAACAGTTTCATTTGCTTTTTCGCGTAACCATATGATCAGTGGTGCAGGGACGGATTGGGGATGAACAACACATCAAACTTTATACTTCTATCTCATGAGAGAAAAAAAAAGGATACAGAGATGTGATAAGTAGATTAAGGGAAATTAAAACATAAAGGTGACGGTGGGATTGCGGTCAGTACAAAAAGGAAGAGAATAAGATTTTTGGACCAATTTGAAAACAGAAATAAATAAAATAGAAATCAACACATTTACAGTAGAAAAAGAGAATTACGCTTACCGATTGAACAGTCTGGACCTTTAAATCCATTTACACAGTCACAAACCCCTCCATCACACACGCCACGATTACTGCAATCATTTGGACAACCTCGTCGCATCACTGGTTTTTTAAAAGAGCAATAAAAGGGAGAGATGTGATTAGCATCCATGCATGAATTGTTGCTCAGCATATAACAACTCACATTTAATAAAACAACAAACGTATAACATGATACTATATCATTTTATTGATTATTACTTTGTTTGTGGTGATTTGATCAACGCATGAATCGGTGCATAAAACAATGTAAATCAGTAATCACGAGTAGGTTGTGGTACTGAGCGATGGACCATACCGAATATGTGCAGTTTCAATCACATAAGCTGCAGAAGGGTCCCAAACCGTGACCCACTGACAGAAACTACAATATCATGATCCACGGGACACAACTTCACATTTTCAGTGGAATAAACACTAGAAACATATCTCTAGTTGGCTAGAACTTATCGAAGAATAAACAGACTTGGTTGCTATTCAGATACAGCCATTAACAGATTAGTTTATGTGTGCATGATGTTCGTATTCAAAGAAAGTTTGGTCAAAACTCAATCTACATCAATTAATATCGGGTAACTAATCTAGTGTAAAAAATGGTTGAACCATCTGGTATTTAACGAGATTTCACTATTGTGTAAATGAAAAACAGTTCACGTTTCATCAATTTGTTAAACGACGAGTTATACTGTGCTACAGTCCGTTCTATCCTATTATACCAAAGTGAGACATGGCCGTTAAAGTGGAAGACAGAAAGCGATTACAGGGTTTTGATCATATGTGTCTTCGTTGCATTGCTCATGTGCATTTGGTGGAATCACCGTGTGAGCAGTGTTAATATCAGGCAAAGGGTACTAGGCAAAACAGGCAAGTCGATAGACGAGGTTGAGAACCTTCAACCACTGAAATGTTTGGATATGTGTTACGCATACCTAACCACCACCCACCTCGACGTGTCTGAGTCATGTGGGGAAATACAGTCTGCCTGATTGGGATCCCCGAGACGATAGGAATCAGTTGAGGTCTCTTGGTAAAATCACTGGAAATCGACCACGATGGAGCAGATGTTGACATCGCTGACATCTAAAGCTTGAAAATTTTCAGTAACTGTCATCTTCAGATTGTTTATTCTCTCATGCAACTTTGTCTATTTTGATATCACTCCTTTTCTATCCACTCGTTTTTGTATGCTACTGTGAAGTTTGGCAACTTGAACCGAGGCATTAATGTGCGAGTTTCTACATTGATTCTGTTTGTCTGACACCCGGTGTACAAGATGCTAAATGCTTTTCAGCGTTCAGGAAATAATTGCACGAATGGTCTGTGTTTAATCGAATGC